AGTTTTTATTTGGGGATTTTCTTCGATAAACTCTTTAATAAAACTGTCAGAGTCGTATCCTGTGTCTATCCCAGTAATCATTAGCATCGGATCGGCATTTTGTAGTTTATTTATTTGTAGTTTATCCTGTTTCTCAAGTATATTTTGCAATTTTTGGCATTGGTTATCATTGTGACATTCAACTATTAGTCCTCCATTTTGAAGCTGTCTGACACTTTTAACTGTTTCATTTGAACCATTTAAGTTTTTCTTCACTTCTTTCAGGATATTCTCAGCTTGATCTGGGTTTTTAAATTTGATTAACATGTCATGTTTTCTTGTTTTTGGGGTAGTTGCCCAATGTTCTTTCCCGATGTCGTCACTTTGATGTGGAGTGGTTTTTGTGATTGTGCTATATGTCTTTGGGGCCTTTCCAAAATTCGTCTCATTAATTTAAAATTCTAATAACTTTGAAAGTAGCATGTTAACAATGCTTTCTCTGTTTTAGCTCTGTTAAGAATGATTCATAGAGCATGTTTTTCAAACGTTCAGCTTGAGCATAAAAAAACAATTTTCAGACTTTACAAGTTACATTCAAATATAATTTTTCAACCTGAGAAGAGGATATTCGTTGACTTCGCAGTCCATTCCCGCTCAGAATGGGGAATTTACACCAAAGGCCCGACGCTTAAATAAATTGAACTGGAGCTTTGGGTCCAGCTTAGAACTGAATACATACTTGGAAATTGCGAACTAAGAAAATTGCTGCCACATGCTGAAATGTTCTGTTTGGAATCGGATTTTCACAAAGTAAGCTTTTATAAGTTATAAATGCTAATCCCGATTTTAATAAAATCAATAAAAAAAATGGTTGTATAATATACATTTATATAAATATATTATAATACAATAATGTTCTTATCATATTTAGTTGTAGAGTCATTAGCACTATAAACCGATGAAGCCCAGAGATTTTTATTTAAGAAAAGTTACTAGTAGTTTACAAAGCACGAAAATTAAAATCCAAAACTGCAAGGGCTTAGGCATTTTTTATTTAAGGTTGTTTCTAGCACTAAAATAGCTGAGATGCGCCGATTTTTTCCCAATTTTTAATGCAGACATTTCTTATATAGAAGTTGTTTTAAATTAAATCAGCATTGTTGATAAAATGTTTATCTTCACAGTGAAGATAAATTAGGCCTGGGTAACACTGTGTTGAGTTACGCCTTTGAGTTGATGCCGCTCTGTGAGTTGGCGAGTTATAACTCATCGCGCCTCACTGAGCCGCACCTCGAATTGCGCTTGTGGCGGCATAATTCTTGAAGTCAGAACTTTTAAAGGCCATTTTTAGTTGAAATTGCGTTGGTTTCGATCATCACTCGGAAATTAAGCAACAGTTTCGTTTTTAAAGGATTTATTCACAGCTTTATTGTTTCGTCAATATTTTTAGAAAACTAATTCGGTTAATAAATTTAGTTTTGATGTTGTGCATTAATCACTGCAAGTAAATTCAGAGAAATGTAAATGAGAGGTGAGCACGTGTCGTCACTCACGTTTGATATTCCGTAGCTCACAATGATGCGAGCAAAGAAGCATTTATAAATTGAATAGGTCTGTCATTTAGTAAGCTTTAACATAAAATATCGAACTCAAATTGCTCGAAATTCTATAAAAATTGATTAAAATGACTGCTACGATTTAATTTAAACTATCATTTAATTTAGTATAAAATGTCTAACGCGCCGGATTTGTTTACGGCTATCATCCAAACGATTTTGAACCGGTAATTTGCCTTTAGAATTATTGCAATGCGGACAGGCACTTTCTACAAAAATGCCAACAACAAACACATTGAAATCGAACTGTCAAGCAAGAGCAGAGCAATTAATGCTCGAAAGGATGAACAGGCAAATAAATAATCATATTTATTCTGTAGTTCGGTGTATTTTCTTCCGAAAAAGTGTATGAATATTCAGTTTGCTACCGACAGTGGACGAAATCAATTGATAATCCTTTGTCTCGTGTGAATCGCTTTCTTATAAGGGAAATATGGAATAATTGTGGACCTAATGGCAAGTGCGGTGGTTTGTGAAAGTGTAAAATGGAGGATAGGGCGCCCGCTTGCAGAAAGCTGGTTAGAATGATTCCTAATCTGTAAATCTTTTAGCTTGAACTGAGTTTAGATTTCTGACAAGCAACTAATGTCTTATGAATTTTTTATATTTATCTCTTCTTGCTTTGTTGATTTCTAATAAATTGTGCTTTGGACATATTAAATTCCTGCAATTATAAACTGACTCACCCTTCATAATTTGAATTGCAATTTTTTTTGCAATATTTCGGAATAAATATGATCTTATCGATGTTGATCTAATAATTTAAAAAGTTTTATTATATAATATTCAAGGTGATGGCAAAATTACAATAACATGTTAATCTTGCCGCTTATGGGTTTTCCACGACTGGTAACCCATGCAATTAATAAATTGAAAGGTGTTTATTCTATAACACGTTTGATATAAAGACTAGATAGAAGAAATACATTTTACTAAAGTAAAAATGATTTAAAACAATATGCTATAGCAAACTAATTAATAGTTCACTTACAAAGTAGAAATGTATATGGCTGGTTATTTTACTTACCATTATCTGCATTTTTCCCGTTTGCTTGATCGATTAGATCAGTTAAACTGGCTCCACCAGATGCTGCTGCTTGTCCTTCCACAGTCCACACCAAATAAATGCTGATTACAAACAGTGTCGATATAATTAAAATCACAGATTTTGTCATCTAAAATAGACAATAACTGTTTTACTAATCTAAAAGTGAATACATATATTTCACACATTTTATTAAAGTTAGCAAAATATTATAATCTTCTCTTTGTCAGTTGTATTTAAATTACTTGGATAATATATGTTTAGTTTATAAAAATATCTGTTAGCTTCCAATTTGAATTGGCAACAAAATTAGAGTTTTTAAAATAGAATAGAAATTTTCTTTGACTTTTTCAGACTACACAGTGAATCGTATTATCGGAAAATATGGTTTTTAGGGAAATATCGCGTAGATAAACGCGCTACTCGCTTCTGTTTTTCTTACCACCATAACTAAACCAAAAAAGTGCGATATTTTCACATTTTACCAATCAATAGTGCAGGCTTAATTTGGCACACGGTGTATATAGGGTGTCATGCACACACAACATAAATGAAGAAAAAACTGTTTTCATAAGTGTACATTTTAAATTCACAAAAAAACAGTGACGATTTGATAGCCGATATCTCGATAAAAGTTCGTCTCACAAGTGTCGGTCAAGTATACATCTTTTGCTCTCCATTAATGGGGAAACAAAGACAATCACAAAACATCCATATACAAGGTGACAAAAACTACAGTCAATTTCATGCAAACATGCTTTAACAAGTATGCCAAGGTAAGTCGTAGTAAATGTGAAGAAACATTTTTAATTAACGTATGTTTTCTTCTAGAAATTTGTATGCCCGGTTTTTCCAAAAAATGACTTTGTTATCAGCTATATCGGATTCTGAGCTGTTGCGGACGCAAAACCTCATTTCCTCCCATAATTGCGATTTTCTCTTCAAAAGCACTTCATGGGCGTTTTTTTAGAGACCAAACATTGCATCATCTGAAATATTATCGCCTGCCATGCAACAATAATAATTCCACTTTGAGATTGCGTGTCTTTGTCTATTGTAGTGCGTATTTAAAGGACATTCTCTGTTCAAATACTCGTGTTTATTTGAAATAGATACAATTTTTTTTACCGGGTAAAATGAAGCACTAACACAAAGTACATAATGTTGTGACAAAAACATTAGCAACATTGTCGAGTCAAATTCCAACAATCAAAACCTAATTCGCAACAGATATTTCCAGTATACTTGACAAAGACTTGAGTAAACAACAGGCAAATTATGCTTCAATAAAGAAATAAAGTACTTCGTAGTAATGACGCTGAATTATCAGAACACGGTGTATTAAAAAAAAAAAATTATTACCTTGACGCTCTTTTCCACTAACCACAAACAACAACCAATGCCGGTACCACTACACTAAATAGCTACGAAGCCTGCGATGACCACTCGAAGTGGTACTCCTTGAATTTGATCCTGCCACAGTAGCAAAGGCTGGCAGCACAGCAGAACTCGTATTACTTTTGATTTTTTCCACTCTTCACCAAGAGAAAATCCCAAATCGATTTGTAATTGACTACAGTCAATTACCCAGTTTGCTTGCATTCGACTTCAATGGTTTATCATTAGGTCGTGGGTTATGGCGATGATTATCTAAAGTTTAACCCCTGCAAGAATTAAATAATAAATAAATTTATGCTAATTGGATTACACCAGAAGAATATTCTGATTTCATAGCAGTGTCGTTCGTGTTTGTTTTCTAGTTTTATTTGTTTTTTAATAAGTGATATTATATCTGGTATTATTAGAAGGTTTTTGGTTCCTCTCTATCAATTTTTTTTAACTGTTAAACCCTCTCTAATTTTAGGCTTTAACTCCTTAAACTGATGCAGAGAATTTATTTATGTTTCAATTATATTCAGGTTTTATTTCATTCAATTTCTGGACTAATTTCTCATAAAAAAGGCGGAAGTATAAACAGCAAAGAATAACCTATGAATTCCATTTGCAAGCCACAACGAGATTTGTCGAAAATGATGCCGAAACAAAACTTCTCCGCTTTCGAAAATCAAGAGATGAATGAGGAAATTGAAAACTCCAACAGCAACTAAATGATTTCGAAACGAGCAAAAATAGAGTGCTCCTATAAATTGAAAATTATGAAGTTTTGGCAAATAATTTAAATTATTTTCATTTATATTCACGCACCAAGTATAAGCACCAAAGAATAATCTAATGGTGCGTTCAGACCAAACGGGACGCGACCGCTCACGATATATATTTTCAAGTCAACAGTATCAAAAGAGTTTTAAAAAGAAGAAAAATAGAGTTCCATAAATTGGAAGTTATTTTCATCAAAAGTGCATAGTAAATGGGCAAAATGTTTTTTTTTTACAAGATTTTTGTGGTTCAGCAAAGAAAATTTACAAATCGCAAAGAGATCCATTGATATTATAACAATACAGTATTTAAATGTAAAATTAAACAACATCAGTAACTGCATTCACATTAAGACCCAAAATAAATGTCCTGAGTTGATTTCACTTTTGATAAATTGATTTAGAAAAAATTGTATCATCAGTTGCTGCAACTGCACAGTAAGACATATATTATACTGCATAATAGACAAACAATACATGAGATTTTCGAGCTTACTGATCGCTTGGCAATCTATCTAGCTTTTAAGGATAAACGTGGCTTTAATTATTAAAGAGAAAAATGCTAACATTTTCCCCGTTAAAAAATTAATTAAATTTCAATTAAAGTGGCAAAATAAGCCAGGTATGGCTACCAAATTAACAAGAAAAAAATTTTGATAAATCTAATATCATATAAATTCAATTTTATAATTTTGATATGTTTTTGTTTATAGTATGGTAACAATAGAAGATTTATAAATTAAATTAAATAAGATCATCAACTACATTCACATTAAGACGAAAAAACTAAACTGAAACTGAAAGCTAAACTTTTGATTTAACAGCTCACAACTCAACAAATAACAGGAAACATTTTTCCTTTTTAAAAATAAGTTAACATTTAATAAAAGTGGCAAAATGAAGCACTTGTGTTAAAAAAATTTGTTAAACCAATATCACATCAATTGAAATTTGATGATTTTAGACTGTTTCCTTGCCTAGTGTATTGATATATTGATATATTGATGTAAGAAAATCATATAATTTGTACGTTAAACATTACGCATGTTACAATCGAAAAGTGTAAGTGTTGTACAATCAAATTGTAAATAATCTGAAAAGTGAATGTGGAAAAATTTGTCTTTTAAATAGGAAATACTGAATACTGAATCCCACAATGAACTAAATTTACTTAATTAAATTAAATTTATTTTAGTGTTTACCTGTAACTTTAACTATTACTATTTCGGTTTTATCTATAGTTATAAAGTACTCATTGCAAAAGTTTCAAAAGAATTAATTCTATAAATTGATTCCTTTTTGAATCTGCTGTTTTCGATTCAAGGTATATTTTTTCGAGTCGAGATTTTCTATCCACAAATAATAAACTATTTAATCGGAGATTATGAACAAACTAGCAGAAAAGCGGAAAAGATTATAGCTACTTTGCATTGTACAAACATGAAACAAAATGTTCCTAAATCAAATAGCGTAATAAAAATAATTTAGATCCAAAATAACAATGGCACGTTTGATAAATAAATTATACTTTTAGCTAATATTTCGTGGATATTTTCATAAGATACAAGCTTGACTAAATTAACCCGAAAGGACATAAACGTGACTTGTGTCTAACAGTGACTATCCTGTTTAATAATTCATACTAATTTACGGAGAGCTATGGATTGCCATGTTTTTCACAATTTACGAATTTTCATTACTTACGAGGTAATTTAGAATATCTGTCTATTGTAAATTGACCATAAAATAAAGAAAAACGCATTGAAATATTGAACTTCTATCTATAGGATGATATAGATGATTATTTTAATACGACGTTTCGCTTGCTATTTGAAACTATTTGAAATTTGAACAAATCTTTATAACTTAAGTCGATGTTCGGGCTTATTAAAATATTCTTATTCAGTACCACTTGCTGGTTTAGAAATTTGATTTATTTTTAAATTAGTTTAATTTATTTAATCAATTCAATATTAAGTGAGTTTTCCATTCAAGAGGAAGTGAAACAAGCTAGTTTTATATTAATTTAATTATCTGTTGAATTGTTTTTTTAATAATTTTTTTGGAGATAGGTATTTGTTGTTGCCATAAAGTGATGCACTAGGAAAGTTAATTGACTGTGCATTATTTCTACTTAATTTAGAAGTGAATTTTTACCTATTTAAACAGCTAAAAAGCAGAAGTACTTGCAGGAAGAGTAACAGTTATGCCCAGGAACAAACCAAATAGCAATTTGAATACATAATAAGGGAAATAAAGTCTAAAAATCAACAGAAAACATGTTGGTGTTTGTAATTACGAACAAAGATTATTATTAAATTTTAAAACAAAAAGTTAGCGAGTTTGGTAATTAATTTATGTTTAATGACTTTACACGATAACGTAAGCAACAAAAATTGAACAGAGCCATAAACAAGGAGGACAGGAACTGGAAAAAAAGCAAAGAAAACAATAATTTTTACAATAAACCCACACACTAAATAATTTTAATCTATTGTTTTTGTAATTTGTAAGTTGTTTAAGTTTCGAAATAATAGCCAAAGAAGTAAGCTATCAACTAAAAAAATATATTAAATTCGCTAATTAGTAAAAAAGTTGGGATACTTTTAACTTTATTAAAAAATCAGGTGCGCCATTTTATTTGAAACTGAGTATAATAAAATAAATTAGTTTATTAAAATAACAATAAATCATGTAGGTACTGTTTCCCCAAATATTTCATCATATTATAGAAGACGTATTTCATTATTGTTTGTTTTATCTACAAATGTTCTTATTTCAGTGCCGGACAACTGTATTTTCTGATTTCGAGTTGACAAGCTATTTGATCCTTTGCGAAAAAAATGCCAATCGAAAATAAAAAATTGATTATAAACTATTTGTCGATCAAGAATTTCCAGTCCGATTTAAAGTATATTTATATTATAGGTATATGAAAATTACCTGCAAATTTTCGTTTGTGAAATGACATTTTTCGTTTATAATAGCAAATTTTCGTTCAGTTAATAAAGTATTTAATAACGTTGGTAAGCAAATATCTACAAGAAACTCTCAATATAGTAATTATTAGACATTATGTATTAGAAAAAACTATTTTGGGCGCGTGCTTTTAAAGTCGCAAAAATTAATATTTTACCAGCAAACATTTTTACATTCTAATCATATTTTTCCATACTTTGGCATTCTTTTTTTAAGCCCTTTTTATTCATTTGTTCTAACCATAGCAAGCCTTATATAAAGCGTTCAAATCATGATAGTTTCTTATACTATATCTTCATGTAATAAATTGTCATGATAGTGGTACATATACAGAGTGCCATAGAAAATGTAATGCTTTCAGCTATGCATCCAGGGTGTCAGAACATAACAATTTCCTTTAATAAAACTCTACTTACCCTCTTTATCAACACAGGCAGTAATAAACGCATCCAAAAATCGATTTTTATTAAATCACTTCTATAGTACTTTGTATAATCTCAAAATTCGTCGTCATCCTGTCCTTTAACAACTAATTTTTTGCGCATCAATAAAAAGTATTTCCATTATAAAAGCTTTCTAGAACTGCCACATAAAGTTATTGCAAGCACTAATCCAAATATGCTTTCCATGTTAGATTCATATTAAGCAGCATTTATTTGCTGACGTTTTACTCCATTTAATTAAAATTAATAAACAAGTTGCCCGCTCAACCAAATTACCACCACATTGGCTCTAATAGTCATAATAAAGAGAATTTATTTACATCGGCAATTACACCCAGATATCAGGATTTAGTAATGCAAATAATAAACGAGTTTAATATGGATAAATTATGGTAATAACGGACTTCTGGGAAGTTTGGATTTACCCGCAGGTTTTATTATGCAGCATATTCCGCTTGTACATGAATAACATAATAATTGGCATTCATTAATTTGTCTTTCACTTTGGTCAACAATATCCAAGTTTTCAGTAAATAATTTTGCAATGAATCCTTGATATTTCATTCTTTGGTGTTGAATGTTGCTGTCCATTAGCTGGGAACTGGTTTATCGAATTATGTAGATGAAGACAGAAGAGAAAGCAAATGAGGAATATTAACATATGCAAACATTTATATGGAAACTTTTGACTTTAAAATATTGATTAAAGTTTTTAATTGCTGACGAAGAAAGCAAAAATACATTTGAGTTAAGCTTGATTAAATGTTGAGATTTATGGTAAGTAAATAATAATAAAAGTAAAAAAAACAATTAGTCACAACTATGACTAAAATAGCGCAAATTTCCAGCTAATTCTTGTTTTCTACATAAACCTCCTACATGTTTTACAAATATAAAGGACCAATTAACCGGATGAGTTCTGTTAATAAACAATCCTTTTTTGGTCATTAAAATTCTGATAGGGAACAACGTTAAGGCTTATCCCTAAATACTCGTTATCAAAATGCTTTGCAGAGGAAACGAACCTTTCATTTAAAAGTGATTGATAATTTTAACTCGTACGTAAGGATAGGATAAGCGTTAAGTAACGGTTTAAAGGCTAATTCTGAATAAAGTGCGCTCAAGGGAATAACAAGGATTACCTAAATATGTCCATATTCCTCTAGTAGCCACTGATTCTAGATAATGTTAATGGTTAGAAATTAGAAGGATAGAAGGAAATATTTATTTTCAATATCCAGAAAAACTTAATCTGTTAACTGCCGCTTATTAAATACGATTGAAGTTAACGAGTTTGATAATTAATATATAATCAATGTTTAATGATTTTACACATCAAAATATATTAAGCATCGAAAAATGGGACAGCGCCATCATAAATCATGATAATTTTATCTAAATAAGAATTGAGGACAGGGACTCGACAAGAGCAAGGAAAACAATAATTTTCTCAGTAAACACTGACACAATATAAAAAATTCAGATCTATTTGGATTATAAATTATGCAAGTTTCTTAAATTTTATCAGTAACTCATCAAATTTTAACTGTTTTTGACATCGACTAAAATCGTATACATTAGGAGAGATTTTAATTTATTTACACCATTACTAGTCAATTGGACATGGGAATTTACATAGTGCGTAATCCGGGAATCCCAATTCGACGGTTCAACTAGGTATCGAGAGGAATAACCCGTTGAGAGCTGGATGTAATCCGTTCTTGCATTAATTAAGCCATTAATTAAATAATAAGAGCAAACTTTATTTTCGCTGGTTTGAACTGGACTTCCCTAAGTAGTACAAGAACACCTTTTGTTGTTTAAAACATTTAAATACTTCGGGAAAATTTATTGTTCCATGTATCAATTTATATAGTAGTACGAGAGTGATATTTCCTGCTACAAGTTTTATGCTAGTTGATTTAAAAAAAACAATCAGCTTTTCAGAAAGGTATAATTTATTGATCATTGATTATTGATCAGAAAATCCTCAAAAATTACTTATTAATTACATGATTTAAAAACCATTCCACAACTGTTAGTGACCTTTCCTAAGTAGTACAAGAACAGCTTTTGTTCTATGATTATTAGTCATTTTGACTGCACTTGAGTTGAAAACAAAGGTCGTAATTTGTTCCCTGCTGTACTAATTAATTTTAAATGGAATAATTCCGTACTGAATATGTAAATAGCTTGACAATAAACGACAGTGAGTTAGAATATAAAAATGCAGTAATTTAAATTTTATGAATCGTAGGGAGTTTTACTTTGTCTAGTTTTTTGCGGAAAAATTCCCTCAACAGTTATTACAAAAAAAAAATTAGTAAAGTACCTCTTATCACTTTAAGGTGTATCATTTAAGTCTTATAGTCTTGTATAGAAATATAAACTAGAAGAAGAATATAAACTAGAGAAGTATAGAATATAAACTGTTTGTCCTAATAGGCCAAACATGTTATGTCTTGTTTTTAGATTTGTATCAAACCGGCTAAATTAACAAATATTTCTGGTGCAAAAAGTCATTTGACTTATCTCACTTCGTAGATAAATGTGCAGACAGGAGATCTTTCAATAGAAAACTAGTAGCTTAGGTATTCCAATGGCCTTCCCGCAGCCCAGACCTCACATTGTTATATAATTATTTATCAGTAAAATTTCCATAACTGCCTCTCAGCCAATTTTAGCAACAAAAGTGGACTATTTCAAATTAAAGTTAATTCGTTTAATAGTAGCAGTAATTATTTTTTTAGTTTTCTGCTCATAAGCAGGAAGGTGTCTAATTAGACCTGCATAATAATGGCCATTAAGTTAAAGACTTGCCTGGGGTGTCCAAAATGCTTCCAACTTTTGTAGAAATACCAAACTTGAGATCATAGTGTTTACGGAAAGTTTAATACCGATTTTAATTTGAAAATGTTTTATCTAAATGAAAACAGTCATATTTTTGCTCTTTGAATTAAATTATTACCTATACATATTTTTTTACAAGTTTATTTTATCAGGACAAGATCCTGCTTGCACCAAACTACATTTATTGGCTTCATTCCCCTCTCGGGATTTCTTTATAAGTCAACTCATCACTCGCCAAAAAATTTCGTTTAAATTTCAGTAAATTTTAATTAGACAGTTTTTTACTAGTATTCAGTATTTTACTAGTTTCATTTCATCATTTATCATTTGCTATTTATAATCGATAGCTTCAAAAACCGTGACTGAACATTTGAACGTGAATTATCAGCTAAATACATTCTAATTTATAATAAATGCTGTAATTTTGCTAACTCTTAAGACAAACCAATGTATAAAAAAAACAAATGTTCACAAAGAAACGCAGATTCGAAAGATTATCGTGCAGAATAATTACGTTTTGGTTTCAAGTAAAACGGACAAGCACCGGTTGTTTCAAAAACTGATCAAAAACCTGTTTCGGTGTTTTATTGTTTTGGATAATGACAAATCAATATTTCGTGCGCTTGAAATAATAGCCAAATAATTAGACTTTAAATTAAAAGAACATTTATTAAAAACAATTAATTGCTATAAAAGTTACGATACTTTAAACTTTACCAAAAAAATTTAGCGCGGCACCTTTCTTGGAACTGCATTTACATATAATAAAATAAATTAGTTTACTGAAATGATAATAAATAATGTAGATACTTTTTCCTCACATATTTCTTTTAGTACAGCAGATGTATTTCAATGTGGTTAATTTTTATACATTATTTTTGAAAAAAAACAGAAGTAAATCGAAAAGAAAAAATACGTTTTAAACTACTTGCCTCTCAATAACTTCTGGATGCTCTAAGCTTTCCAGGATTTTACTCAATTTAAATTATACTTATTTTAATTAAAATGTTTTCAATCTTGTCAACAAACAGTTTCAATTTTTTCAACAATAATCACACGGTGTATGAATAAGTACTACCTACCAATTTTCGTTGATAAAATTAATATATTTTTCTACAGTTCAATTAATAAACCATTTATTAATGTTGTTTAACAAAAATCTGTAATAAACTATGAGCATTGTAATTGTTACAAAAAATAATTTGGGAGCGTACTTTTGAAATTGCAAAAGTGACTGCTTTTGCAGCAAACATAAGTAAATCCATGGTTGGATTGTCCATTCTAATCGAGTTTTTGACTAAGTTTGCATTATTTTTTTACAGCTAGTTTTATTCATTTCTTGTCCTAACCATAACAAATTTGAATTTAAAGCGTTCAAATCATGATAGTTTTTCGGTCTCTAAATCGTACAAAAAAGAGAGTAAAAAGAAATCACGTTTATTGTTAAAATACTAATAAATAATTTGACTAAACCCGATAAAACGTACCCACTTTTGCCGTCGTAAAGATTAACACTAATGGAATAGTTACATACATACAAGAAAGACAAGGAAATACGCAAAACTTCAAGAAATGTATAAATCTGTATGTTTTACTCAAGCTTTGATATTTGTTATTTAGATAAGGTATCGTCCACATAGGAAAAATAAAGATAAATTTGCAATTTTGCCTTAAAAAATGCGTCGGTAAAATAATTGAATAATGCTAATTTCCTAATATTTTCTAAATGTGTTAAATAATACAACTCAAACTTTGGATATCAATTAGGCAATTAAAATAGAACGAAAGCACATCGTTCCCATTTTCCTTTAACGATTCTGCTTGCATTAAAAATCCAGGATTAGAAATCTTCTAGCAGGCAAGATTTTTTAGGCTTTCAACTATATAATTTTTCATACAACGTATGAAAAATATATTATTAATAGATTTGATCCACATATCCTATAGTTTATATATCCATTTTCTATTGCTTTAGAGCAGATTCTTCCTTGTCGTTAATTGAATTAATAGGGAACTAGTTTTCCATGTTTTTTTATGCAGGGTGGTACAAAAATTGTTTCATTACTTTGTAGTAAATCCAGGGGATTTTTCCAATAAGTTTAATAGTAGCTAGTTGTTCTTGAAACATTTTTTGTGCTTCCCTTGTTGCAATCAAAATTGTTATTGCAAGGGTTTGTCCAAAGATGAAACTATTTTGCTCATTTGAACTGTAGCTGATAAAGCAAACAATGTACGGGGTGAAAATTAAATTTGCGTTTATCTGGGCCATTTTCACAGGCGTTCTTACTCTACATACAGGATTTCTTGTCCGCCACTGATTCTCAATAGTGGGAGATTCAAAGTCAAATAGATAGGCAATCGAGTTGAATACAAAACCATTAAACCAGTCTGAAAGCGATGTCCAGCAAGAAATCAAAAACTCTGTAAACAACAACGTAAAGCTCCAAGGTTAGCAGATAATTACTTATTAGCTTCATTAAATTCACTCTTTGTTTAGCCACAGTGTATTGTGGAATTACTGCATGACGCTTTAACCGGTATATCCAAAAAGTCCAAGAACTCTGCAGTTTTTCGGCTCGCCGAAGAAACAGGACACAAGACAGTGTCGAACTGGAGGTGCCAGAAGAAACGTCGGTAAGTTATCTTAATTAATATACCAAAAATTCTAAACAAGTTTTTTAAAAAGTTTTTTAATTAATTATCGGTAACTTTTATGCTAATTTACGTAGAAGCAGTTTGTTTATCTGATTCGCGTGTAATGCTTCAAAATGCCGCAAAAAGTTTATAATTGGCATTTTCAGCTTATTTCAAGGAAAAGCTTAGACATAAATAAGGAAGTTACATGCGTTGCTTATATGTATGTAACTATTTAGTGCTTGAAAAATTATTTTACTGCAAGCATTCACTATGTTAAAATTAGTTGGATCTTTTGAAACATAACTGGATTTGCCGGTTGTTTACAGGGCTAAATACCAAATACAGTTGCAAGTTTGCTTTTAGGTACTATATCAGTTGAGGTTTTTTGAATAAACATAGCGATTATTTCTTAGTTTTGCAAAAAACTGCTTAAATTCAGAAGAAAATGTCTTCATACATTGCTTTCATTCAGAAATTCGAAGATATTCTTAAAGTATGTGAGATTTGAGTTAAATATTCATGGAATTATGGGTCGCAGCATTGAAAACTAGTCCCAATAAAGCTGTTCCAATGCTAAAGATTACATTTTCACTGATTCGGTTGCGTAAATTTCATCCCAATCTTATTGAACTGTTTTTTAGCAAACAATATAACAACAATAAAAAGTTGATTTATATTATCAACTTTGGAAAATCGTTCAACTCTCTCGGAGAGAGCTCCGCCTTGCAAAGAAAGTAATCAAAAATTCTTCTTATTTTCCGTTCAGATAATTGAATAATATAAATTTAATCGGACACCAAGAAAGTGTCCGCTTGGAACTTGAGACGCTCTGTACATGCATATATAGCGCATCCAAAGTTTCAGATGTTAGCATTAGAATCTTGTGAACTTTTCACTGGATAATTTACGGAAAAGTTGTGGCGTTTTGATGCGGCAAGAAAATATTATTTAGAAATTAAAAAAATTCAGATTTTGGGATTCTGATGCAAGCTTTCCTAAAACGTTCAATGTGGCTCTGCTTTAGATTTTTCTGAATGCCCCCAAAAACAGTCCACCGTTTAACGTACATAAAACGCAAGTTTATGATCCTAAAGAGCACTAACATATTTTTATTGGATTTAAACTTTTCCATTACTCTTACTCTTATATAAAAAGTATATAAATATTCATCGAATATTTTTATTTAGTCTCTGAGTTTATGATCAATATAACACTTTGAACTCAAACCGTGTCACGTATACCAACAGTGGATTGAAAATGAGGGCGGCGCGTAATCGAATTTAATCAATAAAAATAATATAAAAAACTAATAACTAAAAAGTTTTAGAAGCTTTCATACTTTAAAAAGGAAAATTTTTTTGGTTGTGTTATCTTTCATGCCAAATATGCAGGGTCGAATTTAAAAAGATAAATTTGCTTTTGAGTTATGTTGTTTACTAAGCGAAACGTTTAAATCTTCAAAATTTGACGGTATAATTTTGTTGGCGGAAAATGTAAGTAGTACCAAAATTCTGGTCACAGGTTTGGCACACCGTGTAGATATATATTTTAAAAAAATTATCAAAATAAGATTGAAAATATTTTGTAATGATATGTAAATGCTTTTGTGGCTTCAATTTACAAATTTTCTACATATACAGGGTGTTTTTTATGTTAATGTTCAATGTTA